GAAAAATAAAACAGATTCATCAAACATCAAAACTGTGGTATAATGAACAAGATTTAAATATATAACACACAATCAAAAAGTACAACATTGCTGTTCTATTTAAATGCTAATTTTGTTTTAAGACATCATGGTCACTTCTCATATGAACTTTTCTTTCAGTGGAGCGTGAGTACAGCTCATGAGATTCCATTCAGTCATCTTATTCCTTCTTTTTTAAACAGTATTACTGGCAAGGATAAATAGCAGAACAAATTAGAAGTACCTACAAGATCATTGATTTATAAAGTGTTGCCAGGTCTGAAACTCAGGCAACTTGAAGGCTTTTCAACACCATGTCAACACTGTTCACTTAAATACCATTTTAGCTTAAATTCAACCCAGCAAAGGTCTGTTAGAAAGAAGACTAAAAGGAGAGTTGGCTCACAAAAGTTAACCCAAGCAATTTGATCCAAACAGTTAAAGGCATGGAAACAGTGTCAAGCTATCCATCACAATTTGGAATCAAACTTTAGTTAAAATGCTTCAATAGGCGGATGCCAGGAGCAATGTGCTCAAGCCAGCGTGGAGCAGAAATCGATCAAAGAGAAATCCCCTCTTAAAGTTTTAACACATCTGACCCAGACAACCCATCAACCTTGATTTGTTTCATTTATTTTTTAAACAATAAGCGATTATGCATTACTGTTTGTTTTAATAACTATCGCAATCAAAGTCTTTATATAATGTAATACACACAGTGGCCACAATAACGCTAAGCTGCTCAGTCACAGTGTGTATAACCTTATGCGATACAGGGAGAAAAAAGATTTTCTTAAGTAAATCACTGATACTGCCTTAATCACACCCTAGAGGTAGCCATAGATGTCTCAGAAATGCGACACCCCCTTCAAGTGAAACAACTGGTACCAGCACTAATTGAAATTTTGCATGCAAAGTGACAATGCCCGGGCCCTCGGCAGCATGGATTAGGGTTTGAATAGAGACAGATTCTTTGTGAAAGCCTACTGTGGCGGTTGGCGTGCAGGGCAGCTCCATGCATCTGCTCACTGGGTGGACTGAGAAAACACTGGACTGTATACGGTCACTCATTTCACTTCCATCTGAGCCCATTTCAGAAACCTATCGTTTTACCTCTCCGAAACACAAAGTTGTGTCTCCTTCGCACTCTTCAATCTAATCTTTTCAGAAGCAGCTGCTGAAATTAAGACAATAAAAAAATCATCAGCTAAACATATCGACTAAACATGACAAATACTACAACTTACAGAAATAAGAAAGTTTTCTTCAGTTGTGAAGCTTTTCCATATCCTGTGATTATATAGTAGTGAAAACAAACTGCATCCAAAAAAAGAAAAACAACATAATATGCAATACTGAACCTATTAGAAGTGTAAAACATCAACTTGGGACATGTTTGCCAGTGTTTAGCTGTATGGTGTCCAGTCCTGAATGCAGAGCTAAAGGAATGCGGTGCATACTGAAATGCAATCAAATCTGTGAGACATTTTTTAAAGACTCCACGCTGTGATTTCATTCTACCACACTTCACCATCTTCTGCTGTGGTTTTGCTCCCATTATGCTTCCTTCAAAGAACGACAGGAAAAAAAAAAAAAGCTGTATCAAAGTGATCTATCATCCTACTCACACCGACAATGACATGCATACAAGTCTGGATGAGAGCGTTGTTGCATCATAGCAACACCAAACCTCCCAGAAAAACATTTGGACAGTACAAACTAAAACATCACAATAGAGGAGAGGGGGGTGGGGGGTGGGGGGGGGGAGTGGAACAGCCAAATAATCCATCTTGTAAAACTCATTTCCCCCTAACAATACAGGCTACAACAATTTTATGGCTGAAAATGAATCTGAGAATTTCCACTCGACTGAATTAGATTGGTGTCACCGTTGTTAGTAGGACTGTCAACTTAACACTGATGACAATAAATGGGAAAGCTAATAAGGGGGATAAATCCACGGTGTGTTTTCATAGACATGTTTGACAGAGTTAGGCTAATTTCGCTGCCAGTACTGCATCTATTAATTTCCATAAAGAGCCTCTCCCCTGCCTTTAACTAAACCAATAGCACATGGCATCAGCTTACATTAACTCTAATTTAAAGTTGTTTTGTGTTCCACGCTGTGTATAAATGCTTTTGGATTATGGCTGAATGGAAAGGATGAATTAACTTCATGCACAGCTTTGAGTGCTGGGAGGTGCTGTTGTGCAGTAGTTTGAATAGAAACGAGACTTAAAGGAAAACAGAAATAGTCTCGATGCAAATAATGATCCTTCAGTGTCAGCTTACAGTATTGTCGTTTTTAGCATGGCTGGCAGATTTAACGTACTATTTGTAAAATGGACACTTGAGGCACAGCTGGGATTTTGTTAAGTTAAGACACAGTTCTATCCTCTTAGCCGTCCTAACATGGTCCTCGCTTGATTCATCGATTATTTGTATAACAAATAGCTCTTTGATATTTGCTTCCTCGGAAACCGAGGTTATCATAAATGCCGTATTGAGATTTTATTGCGTATTTACTTGGAGTTGCATTGATTTATTCAAATACAAAGTTTTTATAAAGTGCAGCGTTTCTTCTGCTAGTAAATAGCAGAAATTAAATAACAATTATTTTATCTGTAACGCCGAAAGCCAGGGGCATGTAAAGATGTCTGCAACTACTTAAAAAAACAGAGAGGAAAAGTCGTCTCTCCAATAAACTTGTCAGAAAAATCCACTGGAGGGCTCTTTTACTGTTGCATGCTGGGATAGACATCCTTTTCTTTACAGATTAGAGCTGCAGTGACCTCTTTTTCAACTCTTAATTTTTCCTACGCAAGCCAGTGGTTCGCTCTCATTGGACAGTCAAACAGGATGAGTCACAGGGTAGAATTCAGATGTGGGACGGCATTCAGTCGGCGACGGGCTTAGTTGGGTTTTGAAACAAAAAGTGGTGTTGAACCGACCGTCCAAAAAGTCCTTGAAATGTACATGCTGCGTTTTGAATCCTGAACCTAGCGTCACCGTTAAATCCAGATGGAATTGTGTTACAGATTTCTTAATTGAAAGATTTCATACTGTGCATTTTAAAGGTGATGTATGATTACGGCCAGGACTGAAAAGTAAGAAAAGTGAAAAAAACAACAACACCTGCTCTGATTGATTTTGAAGGAGAGAGAAAAAAAAACAAGTAGAGGTGGAACACTGAGTAGTGTGAAATTGTTGTTATTTTTGGCAGTTTTCATATCCTGTCCTTCCCTTGAACTTGAAGAGACCAGTAAAAACAAATTTTGGACAGAAAAACAAACTGTTACTTCAACAGCAGATCAAGCAAAAACATCACAAATTAAATCATATCAAATTGTTGTGATAATGCACATATATAAAGTATAATGTTACACACAAACCATCAGAGCAACTTTTTTTTTTAATTAATGCAATTTTTATTTAATATAAAAACTGTTTATGTCGAGCCGTAAATAATAATAATTATATTATTAATTATTATAAAATAATAAAAATAATTAATTTACAGCTTTAATCTAAACTATTTACACTAGTTTTATTAGCGGAATACGGCCACGGAAATATAATTGTGGTATAATGATTTTATTTTAAAATAACATGTTGTGTTTTCCCTATTTTTTGATTATATAAAAAACTAAAAATTGGATCGTGGCTGTTTTATGAGACACTTATAAATATTATAAAAGTATCAGGAAAATATTAAACCGGTCAGTGTATACTGTAACTTGTTCCACTGAAAATTATATTTAACTGAATTAAAAAACATAAACCAGAACAGTAAGTGGTGGCTCCTGTAAATATGCATGATGCTTACCAGAGCCTGTGCCAGACCTGACAGAACAAGGAGGCTATCAGGTCTTTATCCTGCACAACAAACCTGCATAAGCGGCACGTACAAATGGTTTAAAGTTGAATATAAGTTTTCCTATGTTTCAATTGTTTTTTATTCTTTTTTGGGAAAATTTATCCTGCAGTTAGATCTCGGTTTGGTTTGGAATAGTGTCTTTGCTCCACCTGTTATTATGAGGTTTAGTTAAACTGACCAGAGGAAGGAGGATACATTTGTTTTCTGAACGCATCCTCAAAATAGGCTGGAAAAAATTACTAGGCTGACACTTACCACTGCTCAGCATGGTGTGTTTTGACTTGTCATAGGGCTAACTCATTCCTGCAACTGAAAACTTGCAAAAAAATATATAATAAATTGAGAGGAAACTTTTATGTTTTAGTTTGATTTATTAAAAACAATTGTTTTACTCTGTAGCCTTTAAATGATTTGACGGCTACAATAAAGTCACAAGCGCTGATAGAAGACTATTGTGCAGAAAGCCTTACTAAGTAACTTTTAAGCATATATTCCTGTGAACACCTGAAAGCTTATAAAAGCTGTTTTTACCATTCAACCTGTTTCATTGTGCTCTAAGCCACACTGAATGATGCCCTTTGCTGCTTTGCTAAGCTCTCTGAACAACTGACTGCACTATGTTCTAAAAAACATAAAAAAGAAAGGCTTTTAAGGGTCAAATTGGCTGATGTTCTGTTTGTATATGTTTGTAAATAACATAAGGGTATAAACAGAGGTATTTGGTTGCTTATTCCCAGGTGACAACTGAGATAGACACACCTCCACATACAGAAGCGTCTGTCCCAATTAATGTTTTTGTCCTCGTGTAGGTAACCACACAAAAGCCGGTAGTTTTAGACGGAAATTAGGTTATTAAGCGTTATTAGGTACAGTGTGCTGCAAGTGCATGTGTTTTGTGACCCATTATCATCCAAGCGCCCCCAAAAAAAACTCGATGTGCAGCATTTCGGCACAGTAAAAAGCGCCAATGGCAAATTATTATAAGACGAGGATAAAAATGATTAATTAAGCATAATAAAGGGCGAATTTATACACGCGCTTTGTCTAAAACTCAAGCCGGTGCGAGGATGCGCGTGCAGCAGTCGAGATGCGCGCAGGGTCTTACCTTCAACAGCTATTACGGTCGGTATGCTCCATAATATCCATAAAATATCCATTATTGGTGATGCAAATGCCCAGACATTCAAATAAAATAAGTCCAGAAAGCCATTGAAGGCAAACACAGAGATGGGACTGGCGGTCCTTCTCCTCCAGTTGAGCGATCTCAGATAGCAGAGCAAAACCAACTCAAATCTGGACCAAGTTTGGACGAAACCATGAAAGAGCAGACAGGGGGGAGAACCAAGCAACACAGACGCACAGCATACACTTCTTTCCCCGGATTACTCAAGTCCCCTTTACAGCAGATATAGATAATAAATACATTTATAATTAGTCCAGTAAATTACTTTAACTATTCACGCTTTTAGCTTAACCTGTTTTAAATGGAAGTGCTCGCCCCTTCACTTCCACTTCAGTTCACCCTGCTGTCAATCATAGACAGACGGACTATCCTCAGAGCCTCACCTTGCGATAATGAATTGCTGAGGGAGATGTTATAAAAGATGGAGAGATTTATTCTCAGTCCCACACTCCTCAGATTGGAATTACAGGTTAATCTTTTTATAAACAAAGCTCCAATGTTTCTTTAGGTTTTTAATGAAACTCAATTTGACATCTCCGCGCGGATTGTAACAGGTGACCAACCGGGAAAAACATAAGAAGTAAGTTTGCAATTTATCTTCACATTTTCCTTTCATTTAAGATTTTTTAATAGTCGATACTGTTCCGCCACTTCCATTGTTAGACCATGATACGCATTTATTATTATTATTATTATTATTATTATTATTATTATTATTATTATTATTATTATTATTATTATTATTATTATCCGATTTTTTTGTTTTATCGTTTTAGGCTTTGTTTTGTTTTGTTTTTTGGTTTCTTGAAAACATATATGCTAATTATTATTTACATAAATCACTGTTTCCAGGGTCAAAACAGTAGTATTTTATGCAGGTTTTGCAACTATGTGTATCATTTCCTTTTTAACTCTCCAATCAATACAATAAACCATTTTCATGGCTAAATAGGTTAGATAGATAGAAAGAAGTAAATATTTTCACATGCCTGATCACCTTTTATATATGGAATATGGCATGGAATATCCCAATAGCAGATATAACTTAATTTTATTGTTTCAGCCCAAATTAGTTATTTCAAATGGGTCCAAATTCATGTGAAAATGGGAATTAGTTTACATGGAAAGAACAATTTTTCTTCCTGCAGAAGAAATAGTAAAAAAAGAAATAAATAAACACTAGTCAAGGTTATGGCTCATTATCATACATCAATGGTAACAAAAAACTTGAATTATTGGTGATAATTTCCCATCCACAGATTTAAATGCCAAATCATAATCTTATGAATAATTAATTACATATTTAACGTTTATTGGGTAAATTATTTTCTTTGTACCATTCACTAATTCTTCTACAGCTTTGTAAAAAAAAAAAAAGTCACTTTTTTAACATGTTTTTATGCTTTAGGAATTTATTTAAAATTTGATAATTAAAAAGGGAGTCATTTAAAATGATAACACAAATAAAAAATAAGCATGACATATACCATGTTCACTTATTGATTTTTTAATGAGTAATATTTTTTAAGCCGTTTAAAAGCAAAATGATTATATTCATTTGAATCAAATGTAGTATCATACCCCAAGAAAATAAAAAGATGAAGACGTAACTTTGTTGGAAGTGTGCAACAGATGTAATCGCAAAAAAAAAAAAAAAAAAAACATGAAAAAACAAAAAATAAATAAATAAATTGATCATCTGGAAGTTTTTACGTTTCCCAGCTTTACTAGAAGGAATAATTATATCTTAAAAGAAAACACAATGCTTTATATCAAATAATATTATATATTTGTAAATAGTTCTTACATATATTACTATCATAAGTTACACGCGGCTTTAATGAGATTACTGTTTACAATTATTTTTTAGAGAGGCTTGCAATTAGTTTATTTTTAAAACTCTATAAAATAAGTTCAATGCTCCAAAATAGTTGGTTAAATTACATTGTTATTTTTTAAGAAAGGATAACATTTGTATAATATAGCAGACTGAATATACTTTTGGAGGTAAAGTATGCAGTGGCAGAAATTGAAAGTGAAAAATAATGAACTGCTTCCTGTCTTATGCAAAGCAATGACATGCAGTAATGTTTTATATATATATATAAAACACCTATAGAGATTATATGATAAAATACCAGGTTACACAAAGATTGCTGATTTAGGTCTTATTTAAAAGGAGCAAAAGACATAAATTGTTTTGTTGTTTGTTTTTTTTTTGTTTTTTTTTAATGGAAGCTCATGACAGTACACCATGCACTGGAAAGCATGCAGCGATATACCTCTGGAAACAAAGTCAGAAGTTGCTGAAGCTGAATAAGAAAGAAGAATTAGGAAGAATCAGTTTGTCATCAAACATGCCTTTCTCATTACAAGCTGTGGTGCTGTAGCTATGCAGCAGAACTCTTATGGGTTAAATGAAGCAGTCTGATTTATTTTCCTCCACTGAGCTGGACTGTATTGATTCCAGGTCACTTGACTGGCTGGCTTCAGATCATGTTGAGGTGACTTCTAAACAGATGGAACAAAATGGCAAGGCACTGAGAAAGCAGCTTTCCCGCTCCATAATGAGTTCCATACAAGCTCAGTATTGACTTGAGCCAGAAGTGAAGTGAAAGATGTTAAAGAAATGATATTAATACTTCTTGAATGTAGCCGATAAAGATCTCTATGCCATGCTGTGTAATAATGGATACAATGTTTGTTATGGCTGAAATAAAATATTTGAAATATGAAAAAAAACGGATCAGAATGTAGCATAAATCCTCTCACGTTTCCTTATATGTCTTTAATCCAATGAAAGCCAAAAATAGGGCACTAACGGCAGGTAAGAGCTTTAAAACTGTATATCGCTTACCGTTTACAGCAGGAAACCTAATGTAAGTGCAACTAAAGACCTGCTATGGATCATCTCAAAAAAACTGATTAGGCATAGAAAAAGTCTGTTTGTTTTTTTTTTTTGCAAAATTAAAGGTTTAGATGTAATCAACGTGTAAATGGTGTGAGCCCATGGATTGTGAAGGGAAAAGCAATATCATGACCCCAACCTGCATTCTAAAACAAATGCGAAATAATGTAATTAATCATTGAATTTGTTATGTTTTTTCTAAATAGGACAGGAAATTTCTTGTTTAATGTCGATAAACAGAAAGTTTGCGAAAAGATGAGTACAAAAATGTAACCAAAGAATTATTTAAGTAAATGATTAAGTGAGGAGGTAAAATATTTTTTTATAAGTATGCAATATAGTCCAAACTACTTTGAAATGTCATAATTTGAGTTCATTTTGGTGTTATGTTGGTTTGCCTTTGCAAGTTGTGTTTGACTGCTTTTTTAAGTATAAATATAAAAACAATCTAATTTTAATTCAGTGCAGATAAATATAATAAAAAGGTTGTATTCATTTTGATTTGAATATATCCTTATTGTAAGGAAGCAGCTGTGTTCTATTAAAGGATACAACTTATTCAATCACAATTTAATGCTTTTGCACAACCTTAATTGCATCCACAGGGCAAGAATTCAAAATAAAAAAATGTCTGAAAAGTCATAACAACTCAATGATGAGATTTATGAATAAGCACTGGCAACACAAACCTGGTATCTATGGTGGAGATGCTTCTCAATGCAGTTTTAGGTCTTGTATCAACACTGCCACCTAGAGAGTAAAAGATGAACATTCACAGGCAGCATCATTTAGGCCTGGCAGTTTACAGAAAAGATGCAGACTTGCAACAATATTGATAAATAATCAAGACAATAAAATGTGTTTTTATTTTTTTCATAAAAAAATATCTTCATAAAATGTATTGGTCTAAAAACAGTCACATGCATTTAGACTGAAATTATTGTTCTGACTGGCAAACACAAACTTCAGCTTTAAACTGAAATTATTCGGCATCAGCCAAACATTGGATCAGTTTTACGTCGGGGCTTTGGATACAGTTTCCTGCTCCTCTGTTAAATCACTGCAGATAACAGTGAGATAAATAAAATCAAACTGCCTAATTCCTGATATTTTTGCTCATTGCAGGTCCTTGATAGGGAATACTGCCAAACTACCGTCACCATATTTAGTCATCCGATACACAGGATCCATTTGGGTTCTTTGCAGTTTTTTGTTTTTTGTTTTAGTTTTTATGGCACTAGTGGCTTGTTTTTTTCAACAGTAGTATGACAGGAAAGGGGGTATAAGAGAGGGTTAGAGACCTGCAGGAAAGGACCACAGGCCAGATTTGAACCCGGGTCGCCGCATCGAAGACTAAGGACTCCGTACCTGGGTTGTGCTCGCTAACCACTGCTCCACCTGCACGCCCCGGTTCTTTGCAGTCTTGAAAAAAAATTAAATAAAATGCATGTAGAAAAGCTTGGACTCTCACCCCAGTGGACTCCACTTGACCCTCACCACCTTCCCAGCATATTGCTTTACCTCTGCCAAAAATTTCATTCAATCCCACTAAGAAGCTTCAGCTTTAATTAAATAGACCGAGAGTCTTGGCAAGCGGTCGTTTATTGTCTTGTTAAGATAACTTTACAGACATTGTTGAAGCTTTACTAGTAAACTTCCAGGACCTGAAATGAGTCACTATTCAAGTAAATGTACTTCGGCACAATGAAGCCTCCTTTTCAAGTTCAAATATGTGTTTTCTCCAACAAAATAAGATGATTAAGAGAGTGACTGCCGTCAGTGTTGTCTCTGGTTTACACAGGGCCACTGGCACAGTTAAATGGAAATTCCTTCAGAGGACAGACAGCATTTTTTATTACCACAATAAATCCAGGCAAGATTCTTGTAAAAATGAAGTCTTGTAAAAAATAATTCATCCGACAGTCATGACAAAATAAATGCTTTAAATAAATGGCGGATATTAATCATGGCTTTGGTCTCAGTGCAGAAGCGTCTTTAAGCGCTCCTAAATTCTATAAACAGTTATGAACATACGAGCATAAATCTGTTCGTGTGATGATGCAGCATGCTGTTGACATTGTGGCTTTTATCCCCAAACTGTTGCAGTTCTTTTGTTTTGTTTTTCTTAAGCTGTTCTGCAGACACCTTGTCACACATTTCATCCTATGATGTCCAAATTATCTCAGGCTTTCTAAATGTTGATTAGAAGAGCTTGAATTTACAGAAGCTTTAAATTTTACATTGATTCTACCACTGGTTTAGCTTCCTGTAAGGGCCTGTTTCAGTCAGCAAGGATAGGTATCAATTATTGGAAATATCCGATTGTCATCAGAAGCTGTCCAGGAATTTTGTCTCTCCTCACACTTTTTCTTTAAGCTTTATTTTTTATTATTTGTTAGAAAATAAAATACATTACATTTCTTGAGAATAGAATCATGATCTGAGGGGAAAAAAAGACAAACTATTGTTTATAGAATTGTTGTAACAGTGTGTTACTATCTATTACAAATATCAATCAGTTACAGTTAAACCAGTTTTGCATGCACATTATATGTTCATATACATCGATTTTCTTCCACTGTGGTCATCAAAGATTTAACTGCATGTTTTAGGTCAGTCAAAATTATGAAATACAGTAATTTGGGGTTTGTTTGTGGCTTTGTACGCTTCCGTTTGATTCACAGCATTTAAGTTGATATGAGGCACATTTGAAGGCAAATTCTCAGAAAATTCTTTATGTACTACTCATTAAATAAAAGAAAGCAGCAAAAATGGGGAGATTGTTGTGATGCAATTTGTAGGTACCTATTTATCTGTTAAGACAATTTTACCTGATTATAAACATAGTGAGAATGTCCATCCATCATACTTTAAAGGAAGGAGTCAGGCTTCCTGACACAACATGCATAAAGACCATGTGAAGATGCTGATTGATGCATCTCAGAAAGTGTCATTAGTCACAGAGAAATGATTCCTGTGCCAATGTCAAAGAAGCCATTATTCCAACAACTCCAACTTTACCATTTGCAAATTCACATAAATCTAGGGGCTAAAAATGAAATAAAAATGTTCGGCCAAGCTGCCAGTAATTACATTTTAAGAAAAAGGGGGAAAGGTTTTTAAACCTGAAAACTACATCCAAACTGTGAGCTAGTGTAAAGGGATGGCATGTTGTTTGTTGCTGCAGATGGTTCAGCTGCACTTAAGAGTATAGCTTTCACCTTAATACAACAGCTATGAAGTTCAAGTTTATAGGCCAATAGGCGCTTTGGTACATTATGCTTTGGGTCATAATTAGTTACAAAGTGGCTTTAGGACAGCAAAGTAATTGTTTTGGATTGAAACTCACAAATCCCAGATCTCTGTCTTATCCGACATTTTGTGGGCAGAGCTTAAACAGCGCGTGTAATAAAAGCAGTCCACAAACCTAAGTTAGCTGCACCAGTTGTGTCTGAAGGGATTGCCCAAAATTCTAGCAAAATATAATGAGACACTTGGAGAAGGATAACAGAAATACGTTTTTCTTTTTTTATTTATTGCATACAAGTTTTTAAGAAATTCTACCAAATAGTAGAAAATCTAAACTAATGAAAACAAACCCTTTCAGTCTTGTGAAAAGGTTTCTCAGTTAATGTTCCAGCATTTACTGTAGCTAACATTAAAAGTAATTGTAAACAATACCAAAAACAGGAAATGTTTGGTCTGATTAAGAAATATACAGGAAGCATTATTTGGATATAAAAAACTGATTAAAAAAAACAGGCTAGGCCATGAAAAACAATGCATAAAAATAAGAAATGGTATCCCTAAATGCCTCAAATGTGTCCAGGATGTTGTAGAATTATCCTGATTGTTGCGAGCAAAGCTGAAATTAAGAATGATTAACGTCTAATCGCAGCACAACACCAGACTACTAAAGACAACATGCTTCCTTATCTTTTCTTTTTGTCTCTCCATTCAGACCGTCGCTCATCACAGAGCAACAGATGGACGAGCACAACAGGATATTCACACTAAGAGGATTCCTGGGTTTTTTTGCCTGTCGCTGTGGACTTTTTTTTACATGCACACTCTTTCATCGTATCCCAGCTCGAATGGCTCACTTGACCTGATGTAGGGTTGCCGGATAAGCCTTGCAAAATCTTCTAGTATGCATGTTGACCTGCTTGGAAACTGGAGAACCTTGACTGTGTCTGTCATGAATAACATTAAATTAATGACTCAGGGGGGATTAGAAAGTGATGGTGATATTTCAAGTCTCTTAACCGTAATCTCGTACGCTCAAGTCACAGGTACGTGGCAGGTCTCTGTATTATAGTGGCCTAGGGTCAGATTTCATTCTAGCTTTACTGCTACAAATGCAATTTGTGTTAATAAGGAGGAAGAGGGTGACAAAGTATTACAATAAAAAGTTTTTATATATTATTAAAAATAAGCACATTTTTAGAAATTGCAATTCTGAAGCATTTTCATCTTTTTATTTTAATTCGGACAGTACACATAAATTATTACATGATCAAATGCTTCAACCTAAATCTGCCATAATTAGCACCAGAGCTCAAAATTTCATCAAATTCCCTAAAGCAGGTACATACATTTAATAATATATTTAACAACACAAGCATGTCTAGTAAGCAGAGACAGACATAAAACATGTCAAACTATTAATAAAAGAAACTATTTTTGTTTCAAGATATGATCTCTATACTCAGTCCTGGATTCAGTCGTCCTCGCCCTTTGCACCATTTCTCGTCAGATGACTTTCAAACAAAGGCTACAAATGTAGACAAACCCAAAAATTATCTTTAATTCTTTTAGGTAAACAAATCATTAAAAAATATATGATGAGAAATTTTTTTTCTATGTAATAAATAAGATGTATGGCTCAAAGAAAGTAGTTTGTCAGTTTTTATTTAGTAAAGAACTCCTTAGCAAGGACCCACTTTCCCCAATGCTATAGTATTGCTAGATGCATTGCAATATAATTTATTGCAAAAAGGAAATCCATGGAAGTCCTGGAAATCCATTTTTTTTGTAGTTGCAAAGTATATTAACTCTGCTCTAGTATGACAAACTGTACATAAAGGAGAAGAGGGTGTTTGGGTCACTACTGCTTTTTAGCCAAGATGAAAGTTTGATGTGTTTTTTATATTGTGTGTCATTTTACACCATTTGACTCAAGGATGTTTCTTAGCCTTTTTTGTATGGTTAGTCAGTAGTTTGTATCTGGGACCAAAAATATATATTCATAAGAGCTTGTTTGAGATTAAAATGAAAATAAATAAATACAAATTAAAATAAATCTTGCTGCTTTAAGGATTTCATGCATTCCCATATCTCATCTCTTGCCATGGTGCATCATTTCAGATAGAAGTTTCCTATTTTTATTTATTTTTTGCTTGAGTTTGCTTTATTTATGCTAGCAGATTTACTTGACTGGCATTTCAATTATTGTTTTTTTTAAAGATTATGCAATTCTACTTTTAAAAAATATTTATAAATTTTTTACTTCACAATCCAGTAAAGAGCCGAGAAAAGCCTTACCTATTAAATGAATGAGTCTATGATATTAGAAACTCCTATTAAAATGATAAATTATTTTCTACTTTGCAGTATTTTACCTCTTTGATGTGGTTTCTTTGTGCTTGAACTTATTCTTGGGAGGAAAGGGGTAAAGAAACTGTGAATCTCAAGGGTCGGCATTTATATTTTCACTTGTTCTCTTTGCCATGAAATGACACTGCAATAAGACCTTTCTCAGTCCTCTGAGTGTTTTTTTTCCTTTCACTCTATAGGCTCGAGACAATGTTTATTTTTCATAAAGACTCTTGCTGGTCTCTTTATTTCTTATCCTTTGGAAATCTGACATACCGTGAATAACACTATATACCAAAAATCATTTTAGATTAATGTTCCATCAACTCTGCGCAGAAGCATAGTTTTACAAGCTGTTATACACTTGATGCTTTAATCACATGGTTGTTTTGCTTTGAGGTCTGCTTGCTGTAACTTTAAATTATGAAGCAAGCATTTACTTCACAGATAATCTTTGTAGAAGTCATCTGTAAAAGCTTTATGCAGTGAGCCATAAAGTTTTCACATGAATAGGAACGTTAAGTTTACAAACTGAGTAGCTTGTAGAAAGAGATCCAGTTTGGATGCAAGCATGTATTTATCAGCACAGACCCAGAATTTCTTTAAAGGCTCCTGAATCCTTATGCCACGTTCAGACCCTCAGCAGCAGAGGCAGAAAAAGGCATGTGCTGCTTCATATTTGATGCTTGTAAAAGTTTAGTTCTGATGCGCAGCTGAAGCATCTTTGCTGCTCTAGCTGCACAGTCGAAAAGTGGGTCTGATGCACGATGGGTGGAGCTACCCTATCCTCTCTTTGCCTGTAACAATGACAACAATATTTGCTGTGATCAGTAGGTAAAAAGTAGTTTTAATTTGTTTTTAAGTGAAATAGTCCACCTGAAAACTTCATCTGTGCAGTCAGTTCATCAAGATTATGATCCTGCCCTCAAATATTATTTAGGCTGTCTGATCCGCTCAGACCTCCATACACCGGCAGTGAGCTGACCTTGGGACTCCCGTTCAACAGCAGCCTCTGGCCGGGTCGCCTCTTCTGGGTTCTCGGTTACTGTTTGTAGCGTCTGGAAGGCATTTTTCACATATGTAATCCAAACTGCAAGCCTCAGAATAAAAAAAAGGATCATATCTTGTTGGCAGGTTTCGATATTTTAAGTTAATTTAGGTGTTTATAAACTGTTTTAGAGGAGTGATCACAGTAATCTGCATCAGCAGTGCTGTGTCTGTCTCCCTGCTAGTTCCCAGATCAGCTTCTCTGATTGGTTGTTGTGGCGCGGGAAGCAGCAAAAGTTACATTTTTCCAACTCCAGCAGCTGATGATTCTGAAGCACATCACGCACATCAGATGCTCAGAAGCTCATGAGGCGCTGCTTTGGCTGTTCAGATCCGCTGCTCCTGCTGCTCAACTTTGCATGTAATCTAGCTGCTTCTGCTGCCTCTGCTCTCACGGTCTGAATGTAGCATTAGATATTCAACTGCCAGACAGATAAAAGATAGTTTGGTTTTAAAAGGTATTCTTCGAAGAAACATGCTTAGCAATTTTTAGACTATAATTTGATTTTAAATCACAATAACAACAAACATGTAAAACCTTGCTCAGTGTAACCGTGCGCAAACAGTGACAAAGATGTGTGTATGTGGCAATGTTGCATTTGTTTGGTATGTATACTGCTAAATGGAATAGACAACAGGAGGAAATTATTGGCACTTGGCAAGACACACGAGGAGAACGTAGGAAGGCAACAACCCAGAAGCAGGACTGCTGCCTCTGCCTTTGTGCAGGGAGGAGCACTATCAGGACCCTTCAAAATGACCACCAACAGGCCACAAATGCACTTGTGTCTGCACAATGTGTTAGAAGACGACTCCATGAGGATGGTATGAGGGCATGACATCCACAGGTGGGGTTGTGCTCACAGCCCATCACTATGCAGGATGCTTAGCATTTGCCACAGAAAACCAGGATTGGCAAATTCGTCTCTTGAGCCCTTTGCTCTTCACATTTGAAAGCAGGTTCACACTAAGCAAAGATAGCAGACATGAAAGAGTCAGGAAAAACCATGGAGAGTGATCTGCTGCCTGCAACATCCTTCAGCATGGCAGGTTTGGCAGTGAGCCAGTAATGGTGTGGGGTGGCATTTCTTTGGAGGGCTGAACAGCTCTTCATGTGCTTGTGAGAGGTAGCATGACTGCCATTAGGTACCGAGATAAGATCCTCAGACCCCTTGTGTGTCCATATACTGGTACAGTTAGCCCTGGGTTCCTCCTAATGCAGGATAATTCTAGACCCCATGTGGCTGGAGTGTGTCAACACTTCGTGCAAGATGAAGGCATTGTTGTGAGGTCATACAGCAACATGGATGCCACACACAATACTGAGCCTCGTTTTGACCTGTTTTAAGGATATCACATCAAGTTGGATGAGACTGTCATGTGGTTTTCCACTTAAATTTAGTGTGTGACTCAAATTCAAGGTCACCATGTTAATACATTTTAGTGTTATTTTGTTGTCAGCAAATTCAATAGCAGGATTCAATGTGAATATTTATTTCATTTAGATCTAGGGTGTGTTATTAGAGTGTTCTCTTTATTTTTTTAACAGTGCACATATGTGCCACTTTTTGGACACAGCCAAATGCCACTGCATATAATTGTCTGTGTGCGGAGAGGAAAGCACGGGGAGCTGTGATGTGTAGAGCAGAGTGGGGAAATAGAGCAGAAGAATACATGCCTAACATAAAGAAATCTTGAATAATTCTGCCCTGAGACGTGTGAGGGCTGCAAAGAGCAGAAGAAAGCACCCAGAGGTCGTTTCCATGGCAACCTTTGCCCTGGGAGATCACTGACCCTCCCGCCATGTTGTACAAGCGGGGCACAGATAGTAGGTCACATATGGCACCAGCGTTCCAATCAAACCTAATCTGGCTTGACTTGTGGGTTATAAATTATACTGGAAAGCTGGTTTACACTCAGGCTTAACTCATCGGAACGCTTGTGTGTACAATGTCTGCATTAATGGCAAACTGATGCAGTGACCCAATAAATGCTTGTGTCAACAAATGTATTTTATTGCCTGATGATAAGGAAAACAGCTCAGGGATTCAGCTGCTAAGCATAAACCACAAAGATGAGTTAGTTCAGACGAATTCCATTCAGATTTATCTCTACACTCGGATGTAATAAAGCGTTTGGTGTTAGTTCCACATGTGTTACAGGAAATTTTTACATGCCGTTGTGGTTGTCACTCACATTCAGCCCTTTGCTAACCAGACAGTCACGTGAGCGTCTATAAAGATTCCAGACTATGCATCTGAACTTTCAATCTTCCCTGCTGTTATGCCTATATGCCTGCATATTTTCATCCTATACCTCAAATCCATCTTGTGTGTTAAAAAGTCCAGTTTTATTCTGCTCCAGGAACTATAAGTTAAAGATTAAAATTAATTGTAGAGTCCAAAGTGTCTGTACTCTAACACTAAAATGAAAAAAAGAAAATAAATAAATTTGAATATGCAAAATTGTGGTAAACTGTATGTGCTGACTTCTAATGAGTAGTTTCTTTATTATTTCTGACCACACATGACAAAAAAAAATGTTAGCAGGGAGGCATGCTAATTATATGTAAAGTCTGACTTGTGACCAGTTTTGTCTGAGAGAATAAGTTTCAACCAAATAAAATAGTTATAAATGCTAAAGAACATTCTTGCAAAGAACTAAAAGATTGAAGGTGGCTGTTAACTTTTATGCTTTTGTCAAAAAGCAGGTAAACCATACAAGTTTTTAATCTTTAAGTCAAAATATCTTAATCTTTAATGGCAGAAATACCATCTGTGCCTCCAGACAGATGTGAACATATTAGTGTGAGAAACTCTCTGAAAGTATCCTAAGGTGTGACATAACAGCCTGTCTGCACTTCAGAATCACATATGAATAATTCATGCAGCTTTCTTGGATTATGCATTGAAAGGAGATAAAGAAACAAACTGAATTTTAAGACAAACATGGCATATATCCAGAGCAGGGGACTTGTGATTTCTTCCTTTTCTGTAAATAATTATCATTTCCAAATTTTGTAATAATTTTTTGTAATTATAAAGGATTTCTTTTTTTTATAACTTTATAGAACCTTTCTAGGTTTGGATCCTAAAAATAAAATATAATTTGTTGTCCACTTAAAGTGCTCCAAGAATCAGTTATTTTTATGTGCAGAATAGACAAATACTATCTGACAACAAAATGCCGTGATGTGTGTCAGAAAAAAAATTCTGCAGGACATGGAAAACTAAAAAAGGCCTTTTTTTATTAGAATATTAATATTTCAACAGTTTGAATTTTTAAATAATTAAAACTGCAGTTCTGTAGATCAGTTAGTTCAGGGAAATCAGAAAGATTGAAACAGGTAATTATGTGCATTTTCTTTCCAAATACACAATCATCTTCTTGATAAATATGTATGTTTTTAGCAGGCATTTTTATGGGTATAAGCAGTGCTAGAATGAAGGGCCGCCTCGCTCTGATGGAAGTTAAATCCTATCTGTTTCTCTTGGCTCTATCACTGGTCCGTGATTCCCTATTTCATGAGTGAGCAGGTAATAATCACGGGTGACTGAATTTTCACCTTTTTGCTAAGATCTATAAGTGAGGAGGACATATAGGAATGCTTGATATATTTCCACTTTATTCTTTTATCTGTTTGTTTTATGCTTTGAAGAT